ATATATATATATTGTGTATGTATTGTGTGTATGTATGTAACTTTTGGGAGATATGGAGGCATTGTATCCTAGAAAGTGTACTGTAAAACAGACTGTAATGGTTCTATTTGCACAAATCCGCAGACGAGGTTTTCATCGACGCACATAAAAGCCCCTGCATTGTCAAACTCTCCACAGTAGTTTGGCGCGGAGAAGACTGTGACGAGGCGCCTATCTGCAAAAAAGGCGTATCCCGCGTCTACTACCTGATGGGCTCTGCAGATGAGATCGAGATCGAACTTCCTGAGATGCTCGGCGACGATGTCTGGGCCGAATGTAAACGAGACGCCCCGGTCGTTCTCCCCCCACCCCGCCCCGTCGCCGGGATCGGCCCAGAGAAGATCGCAGAGGAGGCCGCCGTCGGGGACGTCCGTGGGCCGCAGCAGGCGGCGGATTTGGTCGAGATCCTGCAGCTCCGGGCTGAGGCCGCCGTGCATGCAGAGAATGCGGCCGGCGACGAGGCCAGCGACGGGCATGCAGTTGAAGGTGTCGGCGAACTGCTTCCACAGCCGCACACTGTAGCGCCGCTTGCACTCGTCAAAGAAGCCGTAGATGCGATTGATGCTGCTGCACTCGTGGTTCCCGCGGAGAAGGAAGAAGCTCTCGGGAAAGCGCAGTTTATAGGCAAGGAGAAGGCAGATGGTCTCAAGGGACTGCTCCCCACGATCCACATAGTCACCAAGAAAAAGGTAATTGCTCTCCGTTGGGTATCCACCAAGGTCAAAGAGGCGGAGAAGATCATTATATTGTCCATGAACATCCCCACAAATACGCACAGGGGCTTCAATCTCAATAAGCATCGGTTGTGACATGAAAAGTAAACGTGATTCTAGCACAAGAGAACGTACCTCCGCCTCTGTTAACTCTTTCAGAGCACTACGACCACCCGAATGACGAGATGCTTCCATCGCCTGGGCATTCTTAAAAGCTGAGAGACGTGATTGACGGGTATACGTATTTTGTTCATGATTCCCATTATTCCCTACAAAAGAAGCTGTAGCTGCAGCTTCATTATGTGCCGGGTGAACTAAAAGTCTCTCAATAATATCATCTAAATTCATCTTCATCTCTCCCTATCTAATTTCTCTTTACTCTACCCTTAGGTTTTCTTTTCTTTTTTTTTCTTTTTCTTTATGCGTATAATGTCCCTGTACAAATATTTTTTAAAATGTTTCTTCTTTTCCCTCTCGTTGGTTTTTCTGGTTTTTTTTTTTTTTTTT